ACGTGACGTCATTGTATTGTTGAAGGGACATCATGCCATTGTTATGAATAGGGGAATCCCCCCGTCTCAGCCCTAGGGGGAGACAAGGAAATCTCACACCAGTAAAAGGGCGGATATACCTGTCCAGGGTAAGAGAATTCCTTGTCTCCCCCTCCTTGTCTCCCCCTAGGGTTGAGACGGGGGGGGGGATTCCCCTATTCATAACAATGGTATGACGTCATGTCAACAATCTATCAACGTCACGTCAACCCTGAATTTAGCATGTAACGTTATCATTACATTGTGTATATGATACACATGGGAAGAACAGGGTAAGAGAAAAAGAATCATTCACCCCCTTGTGGGTAAGATAGGGAAATCTCAACCCTCGGGGAAAGATTCTTAAGTTGCCATGAACACTCGACAAAGCCTCATGTTTTGCAACATATGAATCTTCCCCCTCGAATTGAGATTCCCCTATCTCACCCCCAAGGGGGTGAGAGATTCTATTATTATTATTTAAATTTGTAGATGCTATCAAACAAAGCCAGCTACACACATTTTCTACAACTCGGACATCTCTTCTTTAGGTTTAATAGGTGTTCTGCATTATTTGTGTAGTCAGCAAAATTAGTGTTTCACAAATCGAATATTTCTATTGAGTTTTTATGACTCATATAAATTTGAAACATTTTAGGTCACCTGAGCTTTGCTCAAGTGACCTATTCAGATCACTTTCCGTCTGGCGGCGTCCGGCGTGCGTAAACTTTTTACATTTTCAACTTCTTCTCAAGAAGCAGTGGATGGAATTTTTTCAAACTTGGTCAGAATCATCCTTGGTAGATGAGCTAGGCTACAAAATTGTAAATTTGGGATTCCTACCCCAACCCCTGTGGCCAGGACAGGGCCCCAAAGGGAAAATTAATCAATATTTCAAAAATCTTCTTCTCCAGAGGTACTACAGCCATTTTCTCTGCATGAGTGGAAAGATCATCAGGGGCTTTATTGAAATTGTAAATTTCAGGACCCCTGAGCTGTCCGTTCTCCCTTGGGGAGGGGGTAAAGTTTACTATATAGTTTATATTGGGAAACAGCACTTTTGTGTCTATTTTTAAAATTTTCTGTAGGAAATGATTTTTACTTGGTGAGAATCATCTATGGAGAAAGATGGTTTTCAAATTATAAAATTGGGATTCCTACCCCAACTCTAGGGGCCAGGGCGAGGCCTCAAAGGGAAAATTTACCAATATTTCAAAAGTCTTCTTCTCCCTACTCAGAGGTACTACAGTCATTTTTTCTTCATGGATGGAAAGATCATCAGGAGCTTTATTGAAATTGTCGATTTCAGGACCCCTGAGCCATTCGTTTCCTCTTTGGGAGGGGGTAAAAATTACTATAGTTTATATAGGGAAATAACACTTTTGAGTATATTTTATCCATTTTCAGCAGAAAAATGTTCACACTTAGTCAGATTCATCTTTGGTGGATGTTGGTATTATATTGTAAAACTTAAATTCCTGCCCAACCCCAGGGGCTAGGGCGGGGCCCGAAATGGAACATTTACCAATATTTTAAAATTCTTATCCTTTGATTGCATGACAATTTAAGTATTGTATTTCACTTAGTGTACATGCTGATTTCCAAATAACATTTAAACAATAAAATAAAGCTACCAGTACCTATGATATAACTCAGGTGACCGCTAAGGCCCTTTGGCCTCTTGTCAATTATTAAATCCAATGGATTTTTTGTCAATAAAGTTTTGGTGTTTTGATAAACAAGTGATTAGCAAAAAGCCAAAAAGCCTTTGCTTGCCATCTTTTGGCTTCAACCCATGATTGAAAAAAAAAAACCATAATCAGGAAAGCTTCAATGAGAACATGCAGTACGTAAACATTTCGGTACTTTTCAGTACGGAGGTGGGAGGTCGAATAAGTATGCAGAAGCAGAACACCCAGTAGTTTTGGATAGAAGCGTGGGGATTTCCATGTCCTTGAAATATTTTGATCAATAAAAATTGTCCGCAATCACTCTTCTACGCACATTACACAGCAGGACAAACAAGAAATTGTGCATTTGCCTTAGGAAATCTAAGCGAGATTAAAAATTCATGCAGTTTGATAGAAAGTGGCTTAAAGTTTGGGGTGCAAGTGATGCGGTACGTGTCTGCAGAAACATGTTTTATTGTGATATAGAAAGGCACAACAAGGAAAGAGAATATGGCTGAGCCCTGGATGGCTGTGAGGTCTAGTGTTCGACAGACATGTGTGCTGGTTGGCGCAGGTTTGACTCCTGACATTGGGGGCTAATGTGTTGGACCTCTAAACAATGTCAAGAAATAAACCGGTTTAACAGTGATGCATGTGATGTCTTAACTGATTTCTCTGCTACCATTCTTTTTGTTTAGAAAAAAAATGAAATTTATATGACAATCGTACTGTAAAGTTGTTTAATTTGAGGGAGCTAATATTTTCGTGGTTATCCTGATAAGTAGTGTACAGGGATCAAATTTCACACTATATTTTCTGGTACTTTTGTATTTAGGTGATGGGATTTATTTTACAAAATGTTTTAGAATTGATGTTTTGTCTCTGTTATTCAGCATTAAAAGGGTTAACAGGTCTTTATTTTATTTCTGTATATTCATTGTATTATTAATCACTGGGTATTTAATTTTGTGCTGTCTTTGGTGACTGCGAATATAGCAAAAATAAATGGCCCGGGGAAATTAGCATCTAGGCAGTATTGCAAAACCTATACATTGGGACCTATACAAATTTGGTTTATTCAGGATTTCAGCTTGCACAAGTTGCACATGAATTTACACAAGACTGCGCAGCCTTTTCACAGGTTTTCAGGTAATTTTTGAGATACAGGTTACTTTTTGTAGTTTACGTATCTGTCCAAACCAAACATGACACCAATATTTATCTGTCAGTTCTATATTCTAAGCCAATATGTGGGAGTTTTGTGGGACTGAAGCCATGTTGGTTATCATCCTCCCTGTCAGATTTCCTGGAGCTGTCAGCCCTTATTATGACTGACTGCCTAAGTGGTTTTAGAGAAGTTAGATATGTACTGTGGCTAGTTAACACATCTGTTCTCTCCTCCTCCACAACGCATCAAGATGTTTTACATGATAATTAGCCAAGGCATCAGGAGGGGAAGTAGAAGTCAGGTGGCAGGTGGTTCAACCCACAGGTACTTCCAACCATAACATCAGGAAATCATGCAATGCTTATGAGGTCACTAGGTCAATTAAGGTCAAGGTTACAGTTGTTATAAAAAAGATAATCAGTCTGCAGAAGATAGCTTTGTATTTTTTGAGGCTTTAAATAGTGCTCAGAATATTTTTGATGGAAAGAACTACAAAGAGAGTGATTTTGGGGTCAGTATTTAGCAGATTATTTCAAATACAACCTAAAGTTTCTGCATTTGTAGCAGAGATAGAGCTTGGAATGGTTGTTTTAAGTCAAGGGTGAAAGGTCAAGAATACCATTCATGTTTCATGAATTATGACAACTTTTCCAATATTGTCGCGAGTGCAAAGAAAAACTCATGACTAGCAGAAACCATTGAACTTTGGGTTTTTTTTCTTTCTTTTTATATTTGCCAAAACAGCATGAAAGTGTCATAATTGCTCAGTCTCAAGCCTTTCTGACAGCACAGAAAAACAACCTTAGTATTGTTACCTAATGTACCAGAAGTGAACAATAAATCTGGCTTTGACAACTGTATTTATTTTGCAATAGAATGTTCAGTTTTGTACAAGAGAAGAGACATTTCTCATGGGGACGAGAAGCTTGTCGTCATAAATATTATGAAGATATTATCACAGTACCGCCATTGATGTCTATGTAATATGTTTGAGGTTGTTATTATGCCAGAAAAATCTAAAAAGAAATGTCAATGATTTGTCAAAAACATGGTGTATTTTGGCCTCTTGTCACTTCTATATTGCGTGCACCTTCAAAATTAACTTAACATATTCACTGCAGTGAAGAAATTGATGATAATCTTAATTGCTTTGGTCTGCTTAGCTGTACAAGTGGGTTCCTGCATGCAGGAAAGATATCTTGTGTGAAGAGAATTTGAACGACCAACATCAGTTCATGCACCTGGCTTAGGCCATGAGCTCCAGTGATCTTCCTTCAATAGAAAGTAATGTACAGTATAACTCAATGCAGTCAAACTTAGATGTGTCAATTACCCTGTCCTTACTCAAACAATTTGTCCATTGCTGTCTGTTAATTCCCCTATGTAAGAATAGTAACTTTAACAGATGAGTCCTCATGCTGTCATTAACATTTTCCCTAAAATTCAGAAAATTGACTTCGAAAATCCTTCTGGCACATAAGCACTTCATGACATAAAAAATCTCCCTCATTATCATCAGATGACACAATAACTTCTCCCTCATAGCACTCCTAATGACATAATCGGTCCTCCCTCTTAAGCATCGGGTGGCATGAGAACTTCTATTTCATATAAGTGCTAGATGACATAATCAATTCTCCCTCATAAAAACTACTCCCTATTGAACATTGAAACACTGAGTGACATAAAACCCTCTTCCATTTATGCCACAGGTGGCGTAACAAGACTATTGTAAGTGCAAAGTGCTCCAGTTGCCCCAAGAGAATACATGGAACTGGCTTTACAACTTTGTCCTTGGTGCTAGTACAGAAGATGTATGTACAGCTCTGACTGTATACATGTATCATCTACAAATAAACAAGGGTTGTATTCCAATTTGTTGCAAACTAATTAATTGATTTTATGTCCAAGATGAAGCCTAGATTATTGTTATTATCAAGAAAAAAGATTGCTTTTTATCACAGAATTGTTGTTCTATTATAGTGGATGATTTATATTTTATATGTAGTTTATACAGTGTGTGGCACCAACCACTCCTGGATCTGTGATGGACCATCTCCCTGTCGGTTTTAATACATTTCCTCTATTTTTTGGGTCTGTTGCTGGCAATCGATTTAAGATTTTTATTCTCTCTTTTTCACCAGGACAACACCACCGTGACCATGACAATATGGACTATTATTACCAACTGGAGATATGGAAAGGCAATATAAATGGGGCATTACGATTGGCCAGGGAGCGAGAGGAACTCTCTGATTGGTTGGTGTCTATGGCACCAATGGGTAAGTATAGAAATAGGTTTATTAGAACTCATCACTGTTGGTATAAAAAAAACTTGTCTCAATATCTCCAGTGACTTTAGTTTTCAAACCCCATTCATTAATTGACATGTTGTCAACCAGTAAGATACAAGATTTATATACATTTTACTTGAATAGTGTATATAGCTGTAAGTTACAGAATTTATATAGTTTATAATAACCAGATTATAAACCCTCATGTTGTTCAGAAGAGGTTAAACATAATTCTGTGTTCTGAATTTCTGTACAGTTAGCCAGAACATTATTTTGCTGTAGAAAACAGGTATCTTGGTTATACAGGTGAAAGTGATATAAGTATCTGGTTTATACAGGTATTTTGGTTATACATGTGTGAAATTATAAAGGTGTCTGGTTTATACAGGTATCTTGGTTATACAGGTGTGAAAGTTATACAGGCATCTGTTTTATACAGACATTTTGGTCATACAGGTGTGAAAGTTATTCAGGTGTCTGGTTTGTACAGGTATCATGGTTATACAGATGTGAAAGTTATATAGGTATCTGGTTTATACAGGTGTGAAATTATAAAGGTGTCTGGTTTATACAGATATCTTGGTTATACAGGTATCTGGTTTATACAGGTATATTGGTTCAATTTTGGTTTGGCTCAGTGGTCATTTTACAGACTGTCTGAGGACTTAAAGCCTGTCAGTTTATCACCATTAATATATATATGTGCTATATTTAAACCTGAACATAATGACTAAACATCCATTGCCATTCTAACTAATAAAATAATTTTAAACTTAACAGTAGGAAAGGATCTCCCTTAGAACCAAAGTCCAATAAGACCACACATATATTGCAGTTTATCTTCTCAGTTCCAGGAGCATACCCATTGGTATACATAGTCTTCTTTTAAGTAAGAAATTGATGGGGAAAAAACAGGAAGAAGATCGTAGCAACTCTTGCTGCTTGATAAATTCTATAAAATATAACTGTTTACATAGTTGCTAGTATGTTTCTACTTGCTAAATTTTGACTTGTTAGGCAAGCAATGTCGCTAGGGTACAATTTTCAGCTTGGTTAAGATTGTGTAATGAAAGATTGTGAACACTAGTTCAAAAAATGATATGGTGACCTTGCTACACATTGAAAAGAACCTGGTATCGAAGATTTGTATATATATCGACATTTAATGCAATGAAATATCTATTTCTGTGTGAGACAGTCACCTTTGAACTTTACATTATAAAACACTGCCTAAGGTCTATAGTTTTATCACTGATCTTAATATGAATGAATCAAACACAATCTAGCTGCCCTATCAGCTGATATACCTCAGCAATAAAGACTTCATTATTCTTATTTTAAAGGTACAATTACCACTATAAATCTAATTCTTGTTATATTACAAAACACTGCCTAAAGCCTAGTTTTATCACTTACTTCAATATCAACAAATCAACACAATCTAGCCCATCATATTCTACCTAATCAGTTGAAATACCTCAGGTATGGGATTTGGTGAACTTCATAATTTGTTACCCCCGCCATATAATGGGGGGGGGGGGGGGCATATAGTGTTGCCCATTTCGGTCCCGTCCCATCCAGATTCAATGATAACACCCGTCCCGTCGCATCGCGCCCGGATTCAATGTAAACAATTAGCAACTTCATTCTTTGACAGATTTTGGTCAAACTTTATACAAAGGTCAAGTATGAGTATACTTAGGACACTGTTGTGTCTCAGAGTTCCAAGGTCAAGGCCAAGGTCACTGTTGCTATATATAGAAAATCATCAACTGATTCAATTTCAACACTTAGCAACTTCATTCTTTCATGGATTTTGGTAGCAACTTCATTCTTTCATGGATTTTGGTCGAACGTTATGCAAAGGTCAAGTATGAGTATACTTCGGACACTGTTGTGTTTCACGGCTCCAAGGTCAAGGCCAAGGTCACTGTTGCTATATATAGAAAACCATCAACTGATTCAATTTAAACACTTAGAAACTTCATTCTTTCATGGATTTTGGTCAAACTTTATGCAAAGGTCAAGTATGAGTATACTACGGACATTGTTGTGTTTCAGGGTTCCAAGGTCAAGGCCAAGGTCACTGTTGCTATATGTAGAAAATCATCTACTGATTCAATTTATACACTTAATGACTTCATTCAATATGTTATGGAGATGGTAATAACATACAGAAAAAATATGAATATTAAAATCAACTTATCAACTTTAAGTGTAGTACCAGGTGTGTGTGCATGTTTTAGGGTATCAAGATCAAAGTGGTTGTAACTTTTTATAGAACACTGAAACTAATTTCACATGGCAGCGGGGGCATTTATGTCTTACAGACATTTTCTAATTATTATAATGGTACACAATAACTGCAATAAATCTAATTCTTATCCTATAATGTACATTTAAACAGTAATTTAACCAATTGATAGCTTATCACATTCATTCAGGATTATTTAATAGGATACCTTAATTGGACTAATTAGTGTTGATCCATAAGCATCCCCTGTACTTGATCTGGTTGGAGCGCCTCTTTCCTTTATCATAATTTATAGTCTTACTAGGTAAAAAGTACCCTTTATGGCAATTCTTTTAGGTGTTTAGAAGCTTCTACAATTTTGATTTCTCCCAAACTGTTAGTAGTCCAGTGTGTTTGTAAGATTGATGTCTATCCATCTGTCAATGGTTCTTATAAAAATCTTCTTGTCCAGAACAGGTGAGTGGATTTTAACTAAATTTGGTTTGGAGGATTGTACAGCTAAGGTTACTCAACATTACATAGTGGAAAGCCTACTCTTGCAGTATTAGTAAAGATATTTTAATCACATTTGATGTGAGGCATCCATAGGCCATGGGGACTATATGCTCATAGAATTAGAATTTATGTATTTAAAAAAATTCCAATCCTTCATTACCAGTGAGGGATTTTAAAGAAACTTTGGTCTGGAGCCTCCTTCAGTACAAAATAAGCACAGCTAAATAAATAAGAGGCAAAGCCATGTGCAATGTTTTCTTTAAATGAGAATATTTTGCCATGTCATTGCTTAAATACCTAGTGTGTGATACAGGCCTGTTGGGTCTCTTGTACACGGTCATGTACATTTTGACAATTATTGACAGTATAGTTCTTTTAAATCCTATGTAAATTGTTTGGTGTATAAAACCTGTTCAGATATACTGTTTATGATGTAACTTCAGATGTACTATTCTCTCATACTTGTTCATGTCATTATAGACCTGTCTAACTGTGAGACAGTAAACATGAGGCATTATAGGAGATCTCTTACGTAATGGGCGTGGCAGTGTAGGATATCTCTTATTTAATGGGCGTGGCAGTAACTGATAAATCACAAAGACAGAGTATGACACATTTGATCATCAAATGAGTGTAGCAATGATAGCAAGGAGGCTGACACTGACAGCTTTATTTTCCATAGTATCATACTTGCCAATCTATCGCTTTTTTTTTCATAGAGGAGAAATTGTGTGGCAAAATAAAATGAAAGGTTTAAAAAGTACTGAAAAGGACCCTAATGGCCACAGTAGCAATGTAAAATACCATAGCAAAAACTGTTAGTATTTGATAAACAAGGAAGTTATAGGAAATTCTGCTGATTTCAAAAGAACAAATGGAGATGAAAACTTCGGAGTCTCCCTTCAAAAAATAGGTATTTGTCAAGTATGCAGAATCTTTAACCTGAACTATTGATATATCTCCCTTATAATACTACAAGCTATGTTAGCCTTGACCATCGGTAGCAGTTTTATATCTCCACACCTGTATAAATGATCATGGTCTCTATTAGTCATACATACATACACCAGACCTTGAACTATGTGTTCTAAAACTGCCAATACACCAAACTACAGGTATACCAATCATTTAAAGTGCTTGAGTTGATTGTAGGGCTACCTTATACATGTACATGAAATCCACGTGAGACGTGTGTACAGACCATTCATCATGTCCCCAGCAACCTGTTGTTGATACACACCTTCCACAGGTGAGAAGGTTAATTGTCTTCTGTCACCATTACCTGTGTAATAGTTAGGGTCAAGGTCAAAAGTGCAAAGAACGTGCATAATGAATTTTGTATTTAATATGTCTTCCTTTATTGCTTTAGTAAAAAAAAACATTTCAGGGGTGTTGGTTGTTGTTGTAAAGGTGTGATTTATAATATCTTAAAGATTTATAATAACTTATAGATTTATAATATCTTATAGATTTATAATATCTTTTAAGGTGTTATTTTTTTCAGTTCGTCATAAATTTCAAATAAGCAAAGGAGGAAAAGTCTATTTTTGTGGGATCTAGGCCTGGCTTTGTATTGTCAACCTTTCCATTAGACAACAAGTAAAAGTTCATCGCAAACCATTTGCTTTAGTAAAAGCATTATTGGTCCCTGATTGCTCTTAAACAAAATGATGGAACTGTTTGTAATTAAATTACATTTACCTGTAAAAGTTGCTGGTAATGAGCTCTCTATAGTCAAGTTGGTAGGTGCACATACATTCAAGTAACAACGCAAAATGCTAATATTTTCATGTTATATATATTTTTTTCACCAATATAATGTTTTCCTTCAGTATTGAATAATCTAAGGTTATTTAGGGTAGAGTTACGTTTAATTAAAGTTGGTTTTTCTGTATAAAAATATAAGTACATCAAGGTGGCAGCATCTTTTCAGATTCTGATAAGCTCAATTAGTCTTTTATTCAAAAAATTTAAATTCTATTTTTGTATTTTCTGTCTCGGCTGATCATTTTTGTATCTCATACATATAATAGATGTTATTTCAAATTTTAATGTTTTAAAAGCATACTTAGAACTGCTAGACCTAAAGCTGTTCTTCCTTGTGTATCATTGAATCTTCAAGCTTGACTGAAATTCTGCCTTTGATTAACCACACTCCACCATAGGTACATGCAGACAGGTTTAATGTATCACAGCCTAGGTAGGAAGAGTCGGGATATATCAGTTAGGCTAGCTGTAAGGATTGATTGTTATTATTATAAACAACTTAAATTATGGGACGGACAATTACACACCTCGTCTACCTGTCCTGATGATTACCTTTATTATCGCTGACCCACAGTTGACCCAAACATTATATTTTTGATCTTGGTCATCTGAGATAGAACAATTGACATCCTAATCAATCATACTTATTTACCGAGTTAATTAGCTGGAAACTGTGGGCTAAAAGCACCATTGCTTTGCTAGAGGGACATTTGTATTGGAATACATTTTCATATATCCTCTTAATTGAATGAGAAATTTTGTCAGTTTGATATAGTATACTCCAAGACCAGACTGACAGTACAGGAAATGAAACTCACACTGACAATCTATTTTAAACATACTAGACTAGAAACAATCAAAGGCACTGTGGCAGTTTGTTGAACATGTTATTAAAGTTTTATAAAACACTGCTACTGGGAAACTTTTGAAGGGTTAATGACCGGAAAGGAATTTCTTTCCCCCAAAGTACCTATTTGGGACTTCTCCCTATTAATGGCTACAAGGCCATCTTAGATTTGGTAATGTATTGATGTTATAAGTGACTTTTGATGCCATTTTTTTCTGGGATTGTACTAAAGGGATGACACTTTGTATGAATGACTCCCTTGATCCATCCTTAGCTGTATATGCTCCAGTTGGAGATAGAACAAATATCTGACACAGAACAAGCCACTGTAATATCATGTTGCAATTTGATTTGCATGATCTCCGTGGTTCCCCTGTTCATGTGTTTGTTCAAGAAAAGACCACCCAACAGTGGGCACCAAAGTCCCTCTGGGATTTTTTATTACGTAGTAGATGCAGACAAAATGAAAAAAAATGATCAAACTATTTTGTGATGGAAACAGAAATTTCATTGTGAGTGTAAGACTTTTAGGGTCCAAAATAAGGCATTACCAAGTTTTCTCAATCTGTGTCGGAATCAGAAAGGGTAATTGATTACTTCTGTATCTGGTATCTACAGATTCTAAATAAATAACTGAAAAGTTCAAAGTTCTGAACATATTGTTGAACCATAGGCATCAATCCCCTCAGTGACAGTATTTCATTTCATGGGACAAAAGTCTGTGTTACCTGAGTTATCTTTTCCTTACCTTAACAGGAAGGAACCTATGAAGTGTGGGAGACAGAGTTGTCTTTTTTTTACCCTATCAGAAAGGAACCTATGAAGTGTGGGAGACAGAGTTATCTTTTCGTTACCTTATCAGAAAGGAATCTTTTTGTTACCTTATCAGAAAGGAACCTATGAGGTGTGGGGACAGAGTTATCTGTTCGTTACCTTAACAGAAAGGAACCTTTGAAGTGTGGAGACAGAGTTATCTTTTCCTTACCTTAACAAGAAGGAACCTATGAAGTGTGGGAGACAGAGTTATCTTTTCGTTACCTTATCAGAAAGGAACCTTTGAAGTGTGGAGACAGAGTTATCTTTTCCTTACCTTAACAAGAAGGAACCTATGAAGTGTGTGAGACAGAGTTATCTTTTTGTTACCTTAACAGAAAGGGACCTATGAAGTGTGGGAGGAGCTGAAATCTTTATTAACCATTCTGTATTATATTTTGCAGCAAACTTTGACACATGGATAACAGTTTGTGAGGACTACGCCACTCAGCTTGAGTCCGAAGGACAATACCACAAAGCAGCCACCTACCTTCTTGCAGCACAGAAAGTCTACGAGGCCATCGAACTGTTCAGGCGGCACCGCCTCTTCAAGTAAGACACAGAGGTTGCATGTAGTTTAAATTTTAAGGGTTTTATCATCTACATTGAAATGACAGAATATAAAATAATACATCCTCCATGCTGTGCTGTCTGGGTTAATCATCTACTTCGCCCTTGAATAATAGGACAAAATATTCATACAAGATATAAAAAAAAATCACGATAATTACTGTAAGGTTTATTTTAGATAATTGCAGTTAGGGCTATGGATGGTAGTTTAATATTGGACAAGGCTTGCATAATACTCAAACAGCTAGTAGGAATATTTAAATATTTTTTGTTTTTCTTTTGTTTAGAGGTAGCTTAGGAACAAGTGAACCTTTAAATTTGTGTAATACATTTGTAGGATTTAGTTATAGTACTCTTTACTTAAACACTTTGATTAGTGGTAATAAAAATGGGTTTTACTTTATTAATCTGAGCGATTTTCTGCTGGGCTGTTAACAATGTTTTCCATTTCAAGGTTTAACATACAGTAAAAGCTAATGTAGATCATTGGGCAGTAAAGACTGACATTAAAAGGACCAGAGTACATAATAACGATTGAGGCATGGGGAAAAAAGTGTCTAGGTTTTTAGCGGTGATAAAAATTTGCTTTCAAAGTAATTAATCTCAGAGTTGGTATTTTATGACACAAGATTGTACTTCAGTCTTACAGGTTAGATAAATAGGTGAAGGTCTTGTGAGGTGCAAGTTCAAGTTATTTTTACTTTGAGCTTTGTTGCTTATCAGTGTGGGTCATGGTCATATAAGGTTTGTGTTAGAGGCATGGCTTCAGCCTGTCCAAGTCAACAAATATTCTTTATTCTACCCAAAGGTTGCCTCGACACCTTACGACATGGTTTCAGCCTGTTCAAGTCAACAAATATTTTTTATTCTACCCAAAGATTGCCTCACCTTATGACATGGTTTCAGCCTGTCCCAGTCGTCAAATATTCTTCATTCTACCCAACGATTGCCTAACGTTACGGCATGGTTTCAGCCTGTCCAAGTCAACAAATATTCTTTATTCTACCCAAAGATTGCCTCACCTTACGGCATGGTTTCAGCCTAGCTGTCCAAGTCAACAAATATTCTTTATTCTACCCGAAGATTGCCTCACCTTACAGCATGATTTCAGCCTAGCTGTCTAAGTAAAAAAAAATCTTTATTCTACCCAACGACTGCCTCACGTTCGGCATTGTTTCAGCCTGTCCAAGTCAACAAATATTCTTTATTCTACCCAAAGATTGCCTCACCTTACGACATGGTTTCAGCCTGTCCAAGTCGACAAATATTCTTTATTCTACCCAAAGATTGCCTCACATTACGACCTGGTTTCAGCCTGTCCAAGTCGACAAATATTCTTTATTCTACCCAACGACTGCCTCACCTTACAGCTTCCTTCATCATTAAACGGAACAGCAGTCTGTATGTTCAGCACTTTATGTTATTAAAGAAATATATAAGACTTCTTTTATTCTCGATTTATTGATCAGCAGAGAGCAGTGGAAGTAAATGTTAATAAAACCCTCTGCTCCATCCACTTTGCAAGATCAGCTTGGTTGAGATGACATAAATACAGCTAGTCTTGGCCAACATTCAATTAATTTCATTTATTACTTGTGTTTGGTGGCAAAAGAAACAATTATTAGTATTGTACGATAAATAAACATCATGTTTAAAACAAAAAGACGTCATAAATATCATCTTCGTTATTGTAGGGGATGGGAATTTGCATATTGCGTCATTTGGTATGTTTTAATGACATAATTTGCACCAATACCTAGATTTATCAATAAGGTCGGCCAGCTGACATATGAATCCCTCCAGATCAATGAAGGATCGGCGTGATTCATTCTGTTTAACTTTGATGGATATAATTGGTGTGGAAATTTAAACAGCCGTTGAAAGTAAAAATTCTTCTATCCTCACCACAAAAATGGGCACTTGTGTAGCACTACTGTGAGTAAAGCTAGTCAGTATTGATTAATCACATGATAATGTCTGTCATTTCAGCTGCATAACAACTTACATAACAGGTACATTGGTGTATTATTCAAATTGCTAAATTGTAATCAGTAAATGTATAAAATGAATGGTAATTGAAATGTTTTACATTAATAACCGTTGAGGATTTTTTTTCTTTTTTTCTGGCTTCACATGGTGCCATATTGTCTTGTCATTGAAGCTGTTCTAGTTAAAATTTCTCAAAAAAATTAATGTTCATTATAAGTGACAGCACAAGAGAATTTATGGGAAACATCTCTCCTACTGTTAGCAAAACTTGTTATCAATATTTTACCACCATCGCTTTTAAGAATATAGCCTGTTGTAAATTATGTGAATCTGACAGTATATCTGTGACTTCCCGAAGGGCCTTGTAAGCGTATGCCGTACTGCGGCATCCGTCGTCTGTCGTCCATCGTCTGTCTGTCAACTTTTTCTTTTGAACAACTTTTTCTGAAAAACTGGAGGACCTAGGGTCATGATATTTGGCCAGTAGGTACCAGGGATAGAGTGCTATAAAGTGTCCTCATTAAAATGACCTTGATCTCCTTTCAAGGTTGCAGGGGTCAAATATGTTAAAAACCTCAAACCAGAATAGCCTAAGAACCATTTGGACTAGAGTCATGATACTTAAGGATGTTATGTAGACCAGTAGTGCAAATGTTTTTCTAAATTACAGTAATGAGTTCAAATGTCAACTAAGGGCTAGTCAGGGGTCAAATGTAAACATGGGTTAAAAGCTTTAACAATCTTCTTCTCTAGTTCCATAAGGCCCAGGGTCATGATATTTGGCCAGTAGGTACCTGGGATGGAGTGCTATAAAGTGTCCTCATTAAAATGACCTTGATTTGCTTTCAAGTTCACAGGGGTCGAATATATTAAAAACTTCAAACAAGAATATCCTGAGAACCATTTGGACTAGAGTCATGTTACTTGATTGAGTATGTTATGTAGACCAGCAGTGCATTTTTTTTCTTGATAATAGCAATGAGTTCAAATGTCAACTGAAAGTGCTAGTCAGGGGTGAAACATTAACATGGGTTAAAAGCTTTAACAATCTTCTTCTCTAGTTCCATAAGGCCCAGGGTCATGATATTTGGCCAGTAGGTACCATGGATGGAGTGCTATAAAGTGTTTTCATTAAAATGACCTTGACCTACTTTCAAGTTCACAGGGGTCAAATATGTTAAAATCCCTCAAACAACAATATCCTAAGAACCATTTGAACTAGAATCATGATACTTGAGTATGGTATGTAGACCAGTAGTGCAAATGTTTTTCTTAATTACAGTAATGAGTTCAAATGTCAACTGAAAGTGCTATCCGGAGTCAAAGGTCAACGTGGGTTAAAAGCGTTAAAATTAAAATTTCAAATTTCAAACAACAATTTCTTAAGAGCATTTAAGGAATGTTATAATGTCTTTTTTTCTTGTTACCAAATTTGGTCTAAAGTTACTTATATGTCAGTTTCATGTAACAAAAGAAACAGGTGAGCGATACAGGCCCTCTTGGCCTCTTGTATTTGTCATCTATGCATTCCATTTGTTATTACAATATAAAGAAAACAGATAAATTTACTGCAGTGTGTTTTGTATCTGTCAAACATACTTTTCATCACTCATAAATAATGATTTTTGGTGATCCTTAATTTCATCCCATACACTTTTGATTAGAAAACTGTTCTCACTCTAGCTACTGAATCAGCGTTGGGGTAATAAAGAAAAAAACATGCTGCTTATTTAACAAATTGATTTTTTTCATTATGTTTTTCACTTTTTAACATCAATTGATTTTTATTTAGGGAGGCTATAGCCTTAGCCAAGGTGCGGTTGTCTCCCTTTGACCCTGTTCTGGAGGAACTTTATACACTATGGGCACAGCAGCTCACTAGGGACGGTAACTACGAGCAAGCAGCAAAATGGTAAGTAACAAATTCTGAAAGTAGAGACAACTGCGCTTAAAATTGGAAGCAGTGAAGTAGGAATTATAGTCAAACCAGTTCAGAATGTTATTTCTTAGAAGTCAAATAACAAACAAAAAACTTTCTAAGATAAATAGATTTAAATGTCCAAACCTCACTGTGGTGATAACCAGCTGTCCAAAAGAGTTCTATCTACAATGCTTATAAACAAATCACAGGCAAGTCCGGGAGTATATACCTTTAGAAATGTAAGTTATTTAGTTTATTTTACTATTATTTCAGTAGTCGAGGAGAAAAGAAGGAATCGATGGTATGCAAAATGTTTAGACAGCTGAGAAGGAAGCGTACACAGTGAACAATATTAGTCATTCCTAAGCAAAATTTATTTCGGTCAGTTAATATGATTAAAGAGTTACAACATATTCTGTTTCACATCATCTCAGAATTCTCTTGTGACCGAAATATGGACTCGAAAGTACTGAAGATCTTAACTGGAAAATTGGGGAGTTGCAGGTTGTAATTGAATAGGTTAAGTGCATGCATTTCATATCTGTATGAGTAGAAGATGATGGCATGACAGATAGAGAGGACTTCACCCTTTAATTTTGTCTGGGTTTTGCCGCAGGGTTATGATATAATCAAACATTTGCTCTGTGGTAATACAACATGAATTTATAGTGATGGCCGGTGTACAACGGCAGTCATATAAAGTAACATAACATGTATTTATAGTGATGGTGTACAACGGCAGTCATATAAAGTAACATAACATGTATTTATAGTGATGGTATACAGTGTCAGTCATATATAGTCAGATATTGATGGGTTCACCTAGTGTGTCGGGATAAGTCAGAAACATGTAGTGTGTATACATATACAAAAATCTTAATGTGTGAAAAAACTAACATTGAGCTTACCACATTTATCTATGCCCTTTTGACCTTAATTTGCATGAGGTGGGGCTTTGATGTCTTAATGCATTTTCTAGTTACCAGTATTTTAATTCTTTGAATCAAAAAGAAAAAGATGGTCATGATATGGTCTCAAGTAAGCAGGAACAAGTTCAGGATATGGGATGATATAGGCTTCATTGGCCTCTTGATATTTCCAAGCTTTTTCTTAAGAAGTTGGGAGGTATGAGCAGATGAAGGTGACATTGAAATGTTACAAGCATTATTGTACTTAGCTGTATGAAATTAATACCATCTGATGGTATTTGAATATATACATTTCAACCCTGCTTCAAGTTACAGTACTGCAGGTCAAGTCTGAAGCTACCTGCATCAACTTGTACAAATTCTTATATTATGAACAAAAGGTTGTTGTGCACTTGCCATTTATTTTTTATTTCAATTTTTGAAGGAGTTCAGCTTCTTAAATTCCTCATCTTTTTGGCCATATAGAAGCAGGGGGATAATATTATATGTGTGATATATGCTTTGATGATATATTTGTTTTTATTATTTTTTCATATTATTCCCGACAAATGATTGGCCAGGAGTGCATTACGTGTCCACCGATAAAAACCGATATTGACTTGGAGCGCGTGATTTTTGTTGAAGGACTGTGTGTTTCTAAAAACAGAATTATGACGTGTCTCCAAATAATGCATAGTCCCACTTCCGAAGCCTTTTTGTTATGTTTTTATTCAGATTGCTTACATTACTGTTTTGTAAAATAATAAAACAATTGTAGCCTTTAACTTAGGTCAATACCTGGATTTATCGACCTCAGCCACAGGCTATAATTAAATAATATTGAGGATTTTTTTATAGTCCATACGACTAAAGATTGTACTGTTGATTTTGATGTAAATACATTTTTGTTTCAGTCATCTAGCAATGAAGCAGGTTCAGGATGCTGCCCTACTATTGGCCAGGAGGTACAACCAATCAAGTTTGAGAACAGCTAGTCACATCTGTCTTGTTGCCGGCGAGAAACAGCAGGGCCTCCTATATGCCTACAAAGTCGCTCAACAGTACTCCCTCCAGTCGGAGTGGAAGGAGGCGTACAGCTTCCTTAAGGAACAGAAACCTTTCCAGGTAGCACTGATGTTGAATTGCCTATATTTTCATTACAAAACCATAACATGCTCACATTACAAAACCATATTATGCTCACACTACAAAACCATATCATGCTCACATTACAAAACCATATCATGCTCACAATACAAAACCATATCATACTCACATTACAAATCCATATCATATTCACATTACAAACCATATCATGCTCACATTACAAAACCATATCATATTCTCATTACAAACCATATCATGCTCACATTACAAAACCATATCATGCTCACATTACAAATCCATATCATGCTCACATTACAAAACCATTTAATTCTCACATTACAAAACCATATCATGTTCACATTACAAAACCATATCATGCTCACATTTCAAAACCATATCATACTCACTTTACAAAACCATATCGTGCTCACATTACAAAACCATATCATGCTCACTTAGCCTCACCATGGCAGACATATAGCTGCTTTTATATGGGTGCTGTATCTAGTTTTCTTTATATTGTTTTAACTGTCAACAATTACAATATTCAGTTTGATGCAAATATGAGGGCTTCCCATCTACCTCTTTGTTATGGTTTGGTAATTAATTATGACAAATTACGCCACCATTCAAACTAATAAACATTACATATCAGGTATGTATTGTGGCTCAGCGTTCAGCTTAGATCATTGAAGCCCATGATAGGTGAAAAAAACACTTTTGTATGAGTTTGTTATGGACATGCATTTAATAACACATATCAGAGTTGTGGGTGGCGCTGTACATTTTATTATTTCAATTGTGATATCACAACTAGGAAAACTTCATGTTGTCACTGGCATTGTGAGGTCTTCTCAAGACAAATATTGGCAACAAAACTTGTTATGTGATAAACATCGTTCTCATTTCAAAAGAGATTTATGTATCTTTTATATTAAAGGTCACCAGAGACTTCCACTGAAATAAAATGTGTACACTCTTTTTATAAACTTGAATGAAATAGAGACTCATATTATAAGATCCTCTATATACAAACAAAAGGAACAGAAATTCAGGGTACCACACTTGCTAACCATTGGAGAAATTCCACTTAACATGTGTGGATATACTCCCTAGGGACCAAATAATTCGTTTAGATGACATATTTTGAGTGCTTTCAGATGAAATCATTACTTCTTAGAATATAAGAATAGTTTAGCAGATTAACTGGTTGGAAATATTAAATTTAAGGGTCCAAAGTCAGGAGTCTCCCTCCTAAATAGGGAGAGTTAGCAAGTATGGGGTACACGTTTTATGACTTTCTTTGAGATTTGTTAATTTCATTTGATGTCGGTGCAAAATTATTTGACTTTTACCCCCTAGTGCGTAACTGCGATGACGGCCATGCATGAGCTGCTGCTGTATGAGGCACAGAATGTTCCCCTAGAGAGTGTGTCCATTGACAAGGATAGGTTTACTCAGTGGAGTGACATGGGCAGCCCCAAGGTCTTACTGCCTGGTAAGTAGACCAGATTTACCCAGGCTACACTGGAACTCATTCACCCCGGAAATTTCATAATAAACTATTCCAACCTTTGAATTGGAAAAGTTCAAATGTGTCTTTGGGGATGAATGAGTTAATCTGTACTTGGTAATTTCGTCTCAGAAGTTCAGAGAAGTCTTTCCTAACTGCTAGTAATTAGGTACTCATTATTTCGTTTATTTGAAAGATTGTGAATAAAAAGAAATGGTGAGAGTACAGATGATAAAACTGTTAAATTGTTAAGGTGTTTTGTGTCTTTAAATCTGCTGAATTAACCGACAGATCAGCCTACGAATGCTAGCTAGCACATTGATTGAGTTTTGGATTGCCATATATACAGATCAAAATTCTTTCATTAATCCAGAAAACCGATTTTAGTTCCTGCATGATGTTCATTTGGAAATGAAAGTTTAACTGCATGTCAACTGGTGAAGAAAAATCTACGAATTATAAAAATGTATTTTATGAAGTAGTTTTGTTATATATGAGAAGGGCCATAGCTCCCACTGGAGTTATCTGCACATACAATATTGTTATGAAGGTATCACACAAGGTTTAATATTATGTACAGTCCTTTTCTCTAAAAGCTGAATATCATTTTCTTATATTTGCAAGGGATGATTGGGACATGTTGATCAGTATGACTCGCTTATAGATTAGTGTTTAGCTAGGCTTAATAGGCAAAACCAATGAACATTTCAGCAGTTTTCTTTACAACTGGAGGCAGCATTATTATTTGGAGTGGCCATGGGTCAACAATGATATGTTGATAATTCATTAAAATGATTGGAAAGTAATTCTTGTACTTCAAATAGAATTTCATAGATTGTCAAAATTTAAGGATGATTTCATCATTTTTTAAATCTACATGGTAAAAAAAGATACTCTAGCAGGTTCTCTGAACTTGTCAACCAGAGTCAAATTCTTAGTTATTACGGTTCTTTGGCTGATAATAAGTATGATTCCTATATCTAACGAAGTAAACGATATGCTCACCTGAAATAAGTGTGATTCCTATATATATCTGACGAAGTAAAGGATGTGCTCACCTGAAATAAGTATGATTCCTATATCTAACGAAGTGAAGGATATGCTCACCTGAAATAAGTGTGATTCCTATATCTAACGAAGTAAAGGATATGCTCACCTGAAATAAGTATTATTTCTATATCTAACGAAGTAAAGGATATGCTCACCTGTAATAAGTATGATTCCTATATCTAAAGAACTAAAGGATATGCTCAAAACCCCTTTTTCTACACACATGTCTAAATTCTCAATTTAACAAAGTAATGTGTTTAATAGTGTTCCTTCCTGCTCTCTTATTGGTCAGTGCATTCTTCACAAAAACTTCATCAAATATGACCTAAATCTAATGAATTTAGGTCAATAGGTATGTTATACCTAGACAAAAGTTAATTTTGAAAGGTACACGGTATTCGGATGGGCATACTTTTTGACAATAAACTGAAATAAAATTTGGGTGTCATATATATGCAAAGACCAGGCTCTAATTAGGCTACACTAAGATATGACAACACCCATACCTAAAAAGACTAACATCGGAAATGTTATATTTTTCAGACTTTATGTTAGATGCCAAAGAAAATGAACCAATATCTCCATGGCAACCTTACCTAATTGACGGCCACACCTTCCCTCACCATGTGCTGCGGATCCTCCACTCCAGTCTCGGTGTCAGTATGGACACCACAAACCTGGAGGATATGTACAAGGCTCTCAGTGTCCTCCATGCTGGTCGTCAGGTCCAGACTGACCTTACGCAGGTAAGGTCAAGGTCATTGTCTTAAGTATTTGATCTGTTGAATGTCGCTGGTCTTTGTAGAAGACCTAGGCAGAATCATTTGTCTGGTAGTGTCTTATTCAAGGTCACTGGTCTTGGTATTGGCCATTGTCAAGGTCGTTTGACACAGTATTGGCCATTGTCAAGGTCGTTTGACTTAGTATTGGATCAAGTCAAGTAGATTTGACTAAGGAGTTATGGATCTTTGTAGTAGATCTAGTCAAGGTCATTGGTCTTGGAAATAGACCTAATCTGAGTCCCTGGTCATGGTAGTGTCTGAGTGACAGGATCAGTAGACTTACTCCCTAGTCATTTTCAGAGATTCTTAAAACTTGTGACACTAAATATACAGTACAACCTGAAACAACAGAAACTTGGTCAAGGTCATTGGTCTTGGAAATAGACCCAATCTGAGTCCCTGGTCATGGTAGTGTCTGAGTGACAGGATCAGTAGACTTACTCCCTAGTCATTTTCAGAGATTCTTAAAACTTGTGACACTAAATATACAGTACAACCTGAAACAACAGAAACTTGGTCATATTTAATGTCATCATCAATTGAAAATTAATCTTGACCTCTCCTTGTTGTTAACAGCTGCTGGGACAGGTGAGTATGGACCTGGTGCTCTGTCTGCTGTCTTTGTTGATGTCAGAAACCCCCACCGCCATATCCCACCTACTCCAGGCCATCAGTCTCCTCCACGAGGCTGGCCACTATGATCTGATGGAGCTCATTCTCCGGCTCTTCCTCCCACAAGGTCAGTGCAGTTACTGCTGAATATCATATATAGAGGACTGAACCTATCATACAGTAAAATAATGTCAATACAAACACAGTCGAATATCATTTCAAAAGTGCTGAGTGGTGGGCAATCTGAAGGAAAGGAAATAATATTTAGTCCAAACCATAATTTCCTTACATCCAAGCATTTCATCTACATTCACCAAACTTGCTGTACTTATGTATATTTGGACGGCAGAGTTAGCATTCTAAGATTGGTTCAGGTGTCCATTATATACAGTTAAGGCCCTTTGTTCATTTATGATACCAATTCCAAAGTGTCCAGTTGGGAAGGTGGAGTTATGGCCCTTCATTCAGTGTTGAACCATATAATATGGAATATGGGCAAAGGGTCAAAGGGAGGCATTTTTTTTTTAAAGGATAAGGTCAAATAGGAGAACCTTGTCATATTCCTTTCACTAGTGAAGTACCACTGCCTTTAAATCCTTTCCCATTCCAACACATCCTAGAAATAATTCACCTTTCCCGAGTTATAGTACAAAAGTAATGTAGTCAGTTTTAATATTTTGCTAGAAGTATGCATAGATACTACATCTACATGGCATTGCTATTCTCTTGTTTCTACCTACGGTATTGATTGTAATTTTCCTTTTTCATGTTCAATTAAGTCCTAAGGAGAATTCTAAATAGAGTCTTAACTCCAACTCCAACTGCAATTGCACCAGACATATTTTCTTGTTTCAATTTCCAGGGCCAAAGTACTTACTTAAGTTACAGCAAGAGGTCACAGCCATGCGTGTGGTCATCAGCATGGATAACCACAGCAACGTAGATGGAGCCTCTAAAGTCCACACCATCAAGCGTTATATGTCGGAGATCAGAGAAGATGACACTGTATCTAATTCGACTCTCCGCTGTCGAGAACTCGACTGTCTCAGAGCCTACTACTACCTGGTCATATTGAACTTTCTCAGAGAAAAGCTATCTACAACAAAAAAGCCAGATGAAACGGCTAACATTGCTGAATCACCTCCAGTGAATGAAGCATCAATAGTAACTCGTGCTGGGGGTCAAAGTTCACCCAATAGTTCAACAGGAGATTCTGCCAACGACCAGTTGAAAACAGAGGACCAGATTGACCCAGGTACCTTGGGAGCTGGTGATGAAATTTGTGATAGGGTCGGAAATCCCAAAGCAAATGAGAATAGAGACAATAGTGCTGACATGAAGGACATGTCCAAATGTGTTACAGATAGTCAAGCACAAAATTCAATCAATCAAATGCCTTCATTACCTTTGCCTAAACCTGGTGGAAATTGTGATAAAACTGCTCAAAGTGACAGTGGGAACGCAGCCCCAGCTCAAATCATTGAGAAACCTCAATCAACCTTAACCCCTCAAGGTGGTGAGGATTCAGACAGTACAGTGTTGGAAGAAACAGAAAGTGCTCAAGGTCAAGGATGTATAAACAAAGGAGCTAAGGAAAGTTCGGTAGATGGTAGGAAATCAGATGTTGATAAAAAGTGTTTGGATGTTGCCAAGGACAAGAATTCTGATTTAGCATTTTTCTTTGACGCATTTCAGAATGATACACCCGTATATCACCTGACCTTGCCCCTTCTGTCCCATCTGGCACGAGGCCTGCTCTGGGATATGCAAGGAAAACGTTTTGCCCTGACAGAGACACTAGGCTACATTCATAAGGCCATATCTCAACTCTTACTAGCTCAGAAACCCAGTGCTCTGCCCGGTGGTCAGAGTGAGGCACTTGCCATCGGTGAATTGGCAATGGTCAGGGATGGACATTTTAATGGTCACTCTCACTCGGACAGTTTCATTGATCATCACTCACACTCTGATACTTCTGCTTCTCCTCTGTCTCCAGAACCTCCGAGACAAGATGGCGGGTCACCTAAGAAACGTCACCATAATGAATCTGTTATAGAACGTTCTTTGTCTAACCATGTAGGAAGTGTCACCTGCCCATTCCACAGCAGTGCTGTGTTTTCTCGATCTGTGTCCATCGACAGCGGTGCTGCTGACATCAATCTGCCACTTCATGAACATTTAGGCTCACTTGACCTTGACCTGGACCCATCTTCTGACAATGCATTCAGCATCTGTTCGTCATGTGAATGGCTGTCAAAGTCACGCAAAGTAATTTGGGAGGACGAACCTCACCCCCATTCACATCCTGGCACAGAGCATCAGGTGCATCATGGGAAGTCAAAGGTCACCAGCATTGTAAATCCAGCTAAGTACATCAATGTTCCTGATGAGTGGTATAACACAGCTGCTGACCAGAAGTACTGCATGCCCTATGTCACCATGGCTATCCTCAAGGAAGAGCAGGAGTATGTGATGCGGGAACTAAAGCGAGGCCAAGATGCTTTACAGGTAGGTGATGACTGAGATCGTAACAATTGAATATAACATGTTTCAAAGGTAAGTCAGCTATTTCAAAGTCAGCTTTTTCTTATTTCTACCTTTGAATTGTAAAAGTATTATTGGAATAATAGTCAATCTTTGTTGATTTTAAACACTTTTTTAAACATTTACCATCAATCCTTATGGACAAAATGTAGCAAAACTTTCTTGTATGACAGTGTTTATGTTAAGGCCAAAGCAAAGGATTGCCTGAATGAGGTAACACCATCAGAAATACAGTCAACCCTGTCATGTAGGGAAAAAATACTGTGCATCAATAGTTTTGAAATTGATGATACAATTGCCTGTTTACCTTGCAGATGCCATTCCCGAACCCTCTGGAGTCGGTCAAACTTTTACTGGAGGTCAGTGGTAAAAGTGCCTTCCTTAGCGTTACCGAGAAACACCAGTTTGCCGAGAAGGTGGTTTCCTGGGGGATGAAGTTTTCCGTGTCGTCGCAACAGAAGGAGGCTCTCATGGATTCCATGCATCGAACACTTATCCACGAATAAACCGTATATCTACACTAGGAGTGTTTTAGCAAAAGTAATAACGTCTCACCCTCCCTGATATGATTTTCTATCATTGGTGTGATCTTTATCGCCTGATGCAGCACCAAGTGGTAAGGTGCCCACTGTTCAGAACCAATCAAACTCTATTTTTTCTTGTGAAAATGTCAATAAAGTTCCAAACAAAATCCGACATCCACATCACTTTTTTCGTTTCAGGGTTTTAGGTGATTACTTAAATAACATCTGGTCTCTGTGCAGACAAAAATGTCAGGCAATTAGGGTGAGAATTATCTGAATTCTTTTGTGTCATAAGTATTAGTGTGAGATGTAAGGGAAGTAAGAACTGACAAAGATATATACTGTTCACAGGAGACAAAAACCTTGTGTGAAGGATGTGGAATCCAAAAATGGCAAGAAAAAAACTTAACAAGACATTTGTCTGTTTCTCTACTATGCTGATTTGTTTTGCCTTACAGATTTGTTATAAAAGTATAAGCATGTATACAGACTTCTTGGTATCCTGTCTCTCTTGAGCCTTATAGCTGTGTATGAGGCCTCTCTCTGGTGAAGGGACTCCCGACTGAACAATTATATATGAGGGTCATATCTGGAAGTCGGACATTCCTTTAGTTGGATTAAAATAAAATTTGGAATATGTTTGTGGATATGTACCTGTAATTTTAGACCACAAGGCCTGGGTTTACCTCGAGTTAGATATACGGTATACAACCATTGGTCATGCATCTGTTCATCTAATGTATAAAACATTTAATGACAAGACGCTACTCTGTAAAATAATGTGATATAGACAGCGCTAGGAAATATTACATGTATCATGATTCTGTGCTGTATAACAGAATGTAAAATGACCATTATTGTTGTAAAACCAGCTTCGTGGATAGCCTTGGGCATGAGTTTTGAGAGTATTAAGGTTAAGTACTTTTATAGAGTGCATGTTCATCATGAACAACTCTGGTGTTGTGATATCGTGAACATGAGGACATTAATTATTCTCACCTTATGCCTGGTGATATACCTCAAAACTCACACCCAAGTTCACCACTTTTGTACAGCATGTCTGTATTTACTGCTCTAGTGTATTTGTGAACAAGAAAATCGAGCCTTAGTAAGGCAGTGAGGTGGGTTACAGGTATAGTCCGGTGGGCCTGAGGTCTATGATATACATAGATATGTACTTTTGGAGGGAGGTTTGATAACTCAACCCATCACCATAACTATACTGTAAAATACATTGGTTTTGTGTTCTGTTTTAAGTAGAAAATATTTTAATTTCTGACTTAAGATTGTCATGTTGAACTGATATATCTCGTTCAAGTTTCTGTACATCACACACATGGTATATAGCACCACATAAACCCCTCATGATAAAGTGTGTGTCTACACATGTGTGTGTGGTGTGTGTGTGTGTGAATGTGTTATTGTATGTGTGTGCATCTTATTCTGTTAAAAGTGGCGTTTTTGCCCTTGATTTTGCTCGCTATATCCCACCAAGATGGTGGAGACATGTAAGTGCTACTCTAGGGAAACAAAATGTACACAGGAGGTCAAGTGCAGAAAACAAATATAAAATTATATCACTATTGATGCAAAATGTTGACAAACCAGCAGGTGTTTCACGAGGACGGTACATTGAGGCCGTTTGACATATATAGGGCATGAAAAGTGAATTGTAATGTTCTTATTACACAAAACACTCTCTGTTATTTATACAAAGAATGTGTTGAAATGGCAATAACTCATGTATAAGTTTTTAACGTTGTTGTTATATTTACGAATAAACTTTTTAAAACTTAAAATCAAAAGTCTGTAAAAGTAAAACTCTCATATTACATTATATCAAAACTGATGAATTTTATTGAAGAGTTCAACGGTGTCTTTCTTTGTGGCAATTTATAACATCCAGTAATTATAAGCTACAGAAGATGTAAACAAAAATCATAATCATTGTTTAAGAACATTATCATAACTTTCGTTCTGTTACTGGCAGGTCTAGTTATTGTTATACTTCTATTAATTGACTATTGACCTTTTTAACCTTTTAAAGGTGAAGTGTCAGTTTTCTTATCGGAGATGCATGTTTATTTACATAAAAAGCAATAGGGCAAAATTTGTAAATATGTCAACATTCCTTTCATGTGATGTGTGAAATGTCAAATAAATCCAGATACTTGTAACAAAGAACTCTTCAGCCTTTTTGTGGAAATGCTAACATGGGATATTTCATGGTATGGCCTTGGTAGTGCAGATCAGTCACATCCAATAATGTAATTAATCATTTGATGATCATTATTTGATCCGTATCATTATAACAGAGTGTGAGATGTCCCTTTTCCTGATACCAGGGCTTGTTTGCATTGCTCATTCTCAGATCTGTGCCTAAGTCATGTTTTTGTTTTGGTGGTAAATTAATGAAAATAGACATTTTGTCAATGGATATGAAGGGGTAATGGAAAGACACAGAGCCAAATACCATTTTCAATATTCACACTTGAAGTTTTGACCCTGTTAAACGAATTTAAACAAGTTTCAAGAAAGCTGATTGGAGCACAGTATCCATACTTGAGCATAATTATGGTTTCATGAATACAGGTCCAATACATTTCAACCAACCTCAAGGTCACAAATCCAGTCATATTTAAAACTACATATGTGTCATCGATTTTCTACTACTAGAGAAAATTTATTGACACATTTATTTTACATATATTATGTGTAGCATATTGGTATTTTGAGGTGAATGGATCAAAGGTCAAATAAGTGTTACAAAGGATTTATTTTATTCATTATGAGATTAAATCTAGATTTAAATCAACAAAAAGTGTGTCTTTGTCATAAGTCTGAGAGATATCATGTACTGTCTGTAGTCTTCTTCTGATATCATCAATCATTACAAGGTTTCAAGGTCACATTAAGGTCATCATCAGGTTTCAAGGTCACATTAAGGTCACCAACAGGTTTCAAGGTCACATTAAGGTCATCATCAGGTTTCAAGGTCACATTCAAAGAAGTCATCATCAAGTATCAAAATGCTTTTATCTGTTTTTGGTCATTATCATGTTTGAAGATCATATTTAACTTTCAATGCCATTGTTGACAGTTGATCTGGTGCCTATCAGTAAAATTTTAACACACACTGATGAAGCTTTCTGGCTCTAATCAAATTCATGCTTTCAAAAACTTAACTGATCACTCTTACTACAATTGTAGGGTTTCCCACTTTCAGTTTTTGAATTTTGTTCCTTATTTTCCTTTAAGCTGAAAATGCTTTCAAGAACCATCAGTGTCATTTTTTTTTTAGTTTTGCTGAGATCTCCCCTTGTAGTACGGAATATTTGGACATGCTTATATGTACTGATCAGACAATTCACTTGTAAGCAGGAAGGAAAACACCTAAACATTCACATCATCCTATTTCTGTTACACATCCCCTGGCTTCCCGATAGAACATAATTGTTATTTGTTGCTGCCTACCTCCTTAGACGGTAAGCAGTCATCTGTTATATTTATATGTCACCCTGGTAAAATACTAGCCGCTTCCTACCGACACGGCTAGGGAGAATTTCTCTTTAGCTCATTCGGTAGAACATAAGACCAGTAAGCAAGAGGTCCCTGGTTCGACTTGTAGCGGAGGCATTGAAAAAAATTACCTTGGTTACATATAATTGAGTCTTGTAAACAAGGATATCCTGGAGGTATTTATGTTTGTGACGTCCCCTTGTTAATAATAACAAGATCATCAAACATTTCTGCTGAGATATCCCCTTGTAATGAAATCATCAGACATTTACTACCGAAATATTTCCCTACATTTGAAGCTTGTGAAATGGAAAGTCATCAGACATTATATTGCTGAGACATCCCCCTGTAATGAGATCATCAAACATTTACTCCTGAAATATTTCCCTAGCTTGTGAAATGCAAAGTCATTAGACAATATATTGCTGAGACATCCCCCTGTAACGAGATCAAACATTTACTGCTGAGATATCCCCTATGAATGTCAGAGTTATGACTGTGGTATATATATGTCCTATCATGTGACTGATGCTATGTCAATGTGGAAGTACCTGTGTACAAAGTGATTTTAAGTACATGTGTACTAAAGGATGCTAAGTAATATGTGTGTATCCAGTGATGTGAAGGATTTGTGAACTGAATAAGGCTAGTATGAATGATGTCAGGTACATGTGTAATGGGATACTTATGTACATTAGGAGGCACGGTAGTCTAGTGGTAGGACGCGAGGCTCGTGACCGACGGGTTGCGGGTTTGAGTCACGGAACGGCACTGTGTTGTATCTTTGAGCAAGATACTTTACTCTGCATTTTCCAGTCTACTCAGCTGTAAATGAGTGCATGGTTGGGCAGTGCTAGAATTGTAGAATGCCAGCTGTGAGCGCTGAAATGGCAGCACCGGCTGTATGCCTCCCGGGGAGTTGAGAAAGATATTGGCTAGTTGCAAAGGCCCTATAACCACTGATTATAATTTGTGAACTGCTTTGAGACAACCTACAAACTAGGTTGTGATTAAAGTGGTATATAAGAACCTCAAATTATTATTATTAATTGTTATTATTACATGTGTAACACGTTATACTGATAATACATTAGGGTAACTATGATGGAGCATCAACAACAAGGATTCTATGAGAGCAGATGTTTTAATTTGTTGACATGTTTGGGTAGGCTAAGCCTATCGTGATCAGAGTGATGTTGTATGTGTTGCTATGGAGTGATGCTAGTTTAATGTTGATTAAGTAAGGATAGGTATATGTCAATGGGTACATATCTCTAGGAGTAAATATGTGGCTTATATGTTTTTCCATTATAATATAATAAGTGACTAAGTATACAAAGCATAAATCACCTGCAACAATCAAATAAAAGAATCAAACTGATCAGTTGATTTCTTAGTTTTTAGCTCACCTTGTCCAAAGGACCAAGGTGAGCTTATGCCATACCGTGGCGTCCGTCCGTCCGTCGTCCGTCCGTCAATAATTTCTTTAAACGACTTATTCTTCTTAACCGCAGGTGGTGGGGAATCAAAATTGTACAAATGGTGGGGCTGACCCCCCAGGGGGCTGAGGGGTGGGGCAAAAAGGGGGCAATTGGCTATATTGCTTTAAGTGACTTCTTCTCTGGAACTAAGAGATGGATATCAACCATATTTGACTGGAAGCGTCCCTAGGTGGTGGAGATTCAAAATTGTACAAATGGTGGGGCTGAGGGGCGGGGCCAAAAAGGGGGCATTTGGCTAGATTGCTATAAACGACTTCAACTGTAGAACTATGCACTGGATATCAATCATATTTAGTCAAAAGCATTCATGGGATGCAGGGATTCAAAATTGTACAAATGGGGGGGCTGACCCCCCTAGGGGGCTGAGGGGTGGGGCCAAAAAGGGTTATTTGGCTATATTGCTTTAAAGCGACTTCTTCTCTGGAACTAAGTGATGGATATCTATCATATTTGGTCCGAAGCATTCATGGGAGGCAGGGATTCAAAATTGTACAAATGGTGGGGCTGACCCCCCCGGCTAAGGGGTGGGGCAAAAAAAGTTTATTGCCTGGAAATGGTTGAGATCCCCACTATATAACCACATATACAATTGCTGAGTATAAAGAGAAGAATGCACATTTGCTTCCAGGTTGGCCCTAGGGTCTGGCCCCACCCTTGGAAACATAGTCCTTGGGCCATACTTTAAAACGGCTGAGATACCCACCCAAAATCTATATATACAAATGCTGGGCATACAGAGGCGAATGCAGTCACAATATTAGAATAGACCCTGGGGTCTGACCGAACCCCTAGGGACCTAGTTTCTTAGTCACAGCTTGGAAACAGTTGAGATCCCAACCCTATAACCATATAGACAATTGCCGATTACAAAGAGATGAATGCACATATGCTTCCAGGATGGCCTTGGTTACAGCCCCACCCTTGGAGACTTAACCCCTGGGTCATAACTTTGAAATGGTTAAGATCCCCACCCCAAAACTATATATACAATTGTTGGGCATAAAGAGACAAATGCAGCCATGATATTAGGATTGACCCCAGGGTTTGCCACACCCTTGCAGACTTAACCCCTGGGTCATAAATTTGAAACGGTTGAAATCCCCGCCCCAAAACTATATATACAAATGCTGGGCAAAAAGAGACAAATGCAGTCATGATATTAGAATTACTCCTAGGGTCTGGCCACAACCGTAGGGACCTAGTTTCTCAGTCACAGCTTGGAAACAGTTGAGATCCCCACCCCATAACCATACATAAAATTGCTGGGCATGAAAAATTGAATACAGATATACATGCTACAAGGATTGGCCTTGGGGTCTGGCATATTCCCTTGGATCTCATTTGGAGAATATTCTGCCATGATTGCTTAGATATCCAGGTGAGCGATACAGGCCCTATGGGCCTCTTGTTTTAATCATTTTGGACCTTTCGGAAAAACGTGACTGCTCATATTTATTACTGAACCAGCAAACAAGGGGAAACTACAACCAAATTGGAGACAACAACACAAACAAAGAGATTTCACAACTGGCGGGGTATAGGAGGCGCGGTAGTCCAGTGGTAGGATGCCGGGCTCGTGACCGAAGGGTTGCAGGTTCGAGTCACGTGATGGCACTGTTGTATCTTTGAGCAAGATACTTTACCCCGCTTGTTCCAGTCTACTGGGTTGTAAATGAGTACATGGTTGGGCAGTGCTAGCATTGTTGAATACTAACTGTGAGCACCGAAATGGAAGCACCAGCTCCCCAGGGAGTTGAGAAAGATATTGGCTGGTTGCAAAGGCCTTATAGACAGGGATAATAATATGTGAACCGCTTTGAGACGACCTATTCTCAACAATCAAGGTGGGGAGGGGGGAGGGACAATGAAAGTGGTGTAGCAAAAGGGAAGACAACATTTGCTTTGCCCATAACCTTTGACTGTTAACTTTGACTGCCTACCACCAAAATCTAAACCAGTGTGGATATCAATGTTGCCATACTATAGTTTAGTATATAAAGTAAATTTGGTTGGTGATTCATTAGATATCTTGTACACAATATATTTACTTCAAAAATCTTCTCATATGACCTTTGACCCTTAAACCTTTACTGATAACCAGCCAAATCTAAATCAGGTGTAAACACTACAAATTAAGGTGAGACTACAGAACACAACAACTAATATGGAAAAAACACAAAAACACAAGGGGAACACAACAACTTAAAGTGAAACAAAATCATGGTGACATCTGAACTGAAGGAGAGAGATGAATTGAACAACTTAAAGGGCAATAATGGGTACAAAGTGGCCAACATAAGTAATGGTAAGATAACAATAAAGTAAAGCAAGTGGACAACACCACTCCAGGGGAGACCACTGAAACTAAGGATAGCAGGAAGTAAAGGGACAACACATCTAAAGGGAGACAACAGGAAGTAAAGGGACAACACATCTAAAGGGAGACAACAGGAAGTAAAGGGACAACACATATTAAGGGAGACAACAGGAAGTAACGGGACAACACATATTAAGGGAAACAACAGGAAGTAAAGGGACAACATATCTAAAGGGAAACAACAGGAAGTTAAGGGACAACATATCTAAAGGGACACATCAGGTATTGATGGAATACCACAAGAGGGAAAGGAAAGGAGTCAGCAGGGATAAGGAGATTTCCAATTAGAAGGTTAGACGACAAAATCAACCAAGTGTGGACACCACAGCTGAAGGGCAGAGTGTATAAATTGTCTTTGAGTGTTCATATAATATATATACCAAAAGTGCACACAAGCAACAACAAAATCCAACGCAACCCCACAACTAGAGGTGTGTGAGTGGGAGAGGGAACACCACAAGAAAAGAGAGATAACAACAAAAGGAACATCACAAGAAAAGGGAGATTACAACAGAGAGAACACCACAAGAAAAGAGAGGACACCACAAGAAAAGGGAGATAACAACAGATAGAACACCTCAAGAAAAGAGAGATAACAACAAAAAGAACATCACAAGAAAGTGGAGATAACAACAGAAAGAACACCTCAAGAAAAGAGAGAACAACAGAGAGGACACCACAAGAAAAGGGAGATAACAACAAAAGGAACATCACAAGAAAAGGGAGATAACAACAGAGAGAACACCTCAAGAAAAGAGAGATAACACACCACAATGAAAAGGGAGATTACAACAAAGGGACCACCACAAGAAAAGGGAGATAACAACAAAAGGAACATCACAAGAAAAGGGAGATAACAACAGAGAGAACACCTCAAGAAAGGGAAATAACAACAGAGAAAACACCACAAGAAAAGGGAGATAACAACAAAAGGAACATCACAAGAAAAGGGAGATTACACCAGAGAGAACACCACAAGAAAAGAGAGGCCCCCACAAGAAAAGGGAGATAACAACAAGGGAACACCAACAACAGCGAAAACACCACAAGAAAAGGGAGATAACAACAAAAGGAACATCACAAGAAAAGGGAGATTACAACAGAGAGGACACCTCAGGAATAGAGAGATAACAACAAAAAGAACATCATAAGAAAAGGGAAATTACAACAGAGAACACCACAAGAAAAGAGAGATAACAACAAAAAGAACACCTCAAGAAAAGAGAGAACAACAGAGAGGACACCACAAGAAAGTGGAGATAACAACAGAAAGAACACCTCAAGAAAAGAGAGATAACAACACAAAGAAGACCACAAGAAAAGAGAGAACAACAGAGAGAACACCTCAAGAAAAGAGAGATAACAACAAAAAGAACATCACAAGAAAAGGGAGATTACAACAGAGAGGACACCTCAGGAATAGAGAGATAACAACAAAAAGAACATCATAAGAAAAGGGAAATTACAACAGAGAACACAACAAGAAAAGGGAGATAACAACAGAGAGAACACCTCAAGAAAAGAGAGATAACAACAAAAAGAACATCATAAGAAAAGGGAGATTACAACAGAGAGAACACCAGAAGAAAAGAGAGAACAACAGAGATGACACTACAAGAAAGGGGAGATTACAACAGAGAGAACACCACAAGAAAAGAGACAACAACAGAGATGACACTACAAGAAAGGGGAGATTACAACAGAGAGAACACCAGAAGAAAAGAGAGAACAACAGAGATGACACTACAAGAAAGGGGAGATTACAACAGAGAGAACACCACAAGAAAAGAGACAACAACAGAGATGACACTACAAGAAAGGGGAGATTACAACAGAGAGAACACCACAAGAAAGGGGAGATTACAACAGAGAGAACACCTCAAAAAAAGGAGAGATAACAACAAAAGGAATATCACAAGAAAAGGGAGATAACAACAAAAAGAACATCATAAGAAAAGGGAGATTACAACAGAGAGGACACCTCAGGAATAGAGAGATAACAACAAAAAGAACACCTCAAGAAAAGAGAGATAACAACACAAAGAAGACCACAAGAAAAGAGAGAACAACAGAGAGGACACCACAAGAAAAGGGAGATTACAACAGAGAGAACACCAGAAGAAAAGAGAGAACAACAGAGAGAACACCTCAAGAAAGGGATATAACAACAGAGAAAACACCACAAGAAAAGGGAGATAACAACAAAAAGAACATCATAAGAAAAGGGAGATTACAACAGAGAGGACACCTCAGGAATAGAGAGATAACAACAAAAAGAACATCACAAGAAAAGGGAAATTACAACAGAGAACACAACAAGAAAAGAGAGATAACAACAAAAAGAACATCACAAGAAAGTGGAGATAACAACAGAGAGAACACCACAAGAAAGGGGAGATTACAACAGAGAGAACACCTCAAGAAAAGAGAGATATCAATAAAAGGAACATCACAAGAAAAGGGAGATAACAACAGAGAGACCACCTCAAGAAAGGGATATAACAGCAGAGAAAACACCACAAGAAAAGGGAGATAACAACAGCGAAAACACCACAAGAAAAGGGAGATAACAACAAAAGGAACAATACAAGAAAAGGGAGATAACAACAAGGGAACACCACAATGAAAAGGGAGATTACAACAGAGAGAACACCTCAAGAAAAGAGAGATAACAACAAAAGAAACATCACAAGAAAAGGGAGATAACAACAGAGATGACATCACAAGAATAGGGAGATAACAAATAAAAAAACTAACGCGCATCATGGAATATGTTTGAACGAAACTGTGTTGCATACCCTCATAAATGTTGAAAAGGTGCATTTCAAACCTTAAGTAAAGAGGTCTACACAAGGAAAGGGTCGACAACAGAAAGCAATGATACCCGTAACTAAACGACAGATTATAACAGCAATAAACTGATAAAGGGAACAAACACCACAAGGGACAAAACAAAAGTAAAGCGGGTACTAGAACTAATGGATAACGAATGTAGCTGTAAGGTATGCTTACATCCCCACTGTTGGTTTATCATTGACTTCTTGCAGTCTTCGGAAGACATTAAACCTATGTAATGTAAGTGTATAATTTTACCCGTACACGAAAGACTCTGATAAAATGATGATGACATGCTGGTCTCATTTTCGCTGAATTATTGTAGAAGGAAATTAGAAAGAAGACACTATAATGTAGTCTTATGTCGGCAATCAGCTCATACATTCACCATCTACGGACACCGACTGGAAGCGGGGACATAATGTACTGTTTAAAAATGGTAAGATGAATCCACCATTTTGCTACAATATTATATTTCATTTATGATATGAGAGACCATCAGAGAAGATCTAGAGTACATGTCAAAAGGTCACCTCAGTGTTATATACAGATTCTTAATCCTATATCTTTTCAATAATGGATTTTACAATGTTTACATATCTACCTTCGTGGACTAGGAATTGATGCTGCTGTACGTAACACTGCTGTTATATAATGTAAACGCTGATAGGTTTCCCCCCGTTATATCACCTGTGATAAATCACTTCCACTGGTGATATACAACAGGTAACATGTTCGCCATCGTCTGCCTCCTCGTCGTGTATATTCTCTTCGATGTGAATTACATCGTTCGTCTCATCTTCGTCGTCATCTCCTCTATTATCCAACGACGAATCGTGAAGAAGAATGTACTCGATCCCTGTGTCATGGACGGTAAGTGTAGTCAGTGTGTCGTATACCACTTTTGACATCGTGACTTTTCTCCGTCACAGTATGTACGTGTAGCTAAAATGGAGGAGAAACGAGCTTCTGTTTCGCCCAGGGCGTCGTTTATTTAAAGTATGTTCTATTAAATAATATGTAAGTTAAATCCATTTGTGTTCTATTCATGTATATGTTTAGTTCACCTGAGCATTTGGCTTTTGAAAAATTGTACATGACGACAGAGAATAGATTTTATTTTATGCAATAAAAATAAGATCGAATTGTAATTCCTTAACGTATGTTAATGTTATGCGTTAACATTTTTAGCCCACCATCATCTGATGGTGGGCTATTCAAATCCCCCTTCGTCCGGGGTCCGTCGTCCGTCCGTTGTCCGTCGTCCGTCCGTAAACAATTCTTGTTATCGGTATATCTCAAGAAGTACCAGAGGGATCTTTCTCAAATTTTATATGAATTTTCCCCTTGGTCCTGAGCTGTGCAGGGCAACTTTTGAGACTGATCGGATAAACAACATGGCCGACAGGCAGCCATCTTGGATTTTGATAGTGAAAGTTTGTTATCGCTATTTCTCAAGAAGTACCAGAGGGATCTTTCTCAAATTTTATATGTAGGTTCCCCTTGGTCCTTAGCTGTGCAGGGCAACTTTTGAGACTGATCGGATAAACAACATGGCCGACAGGCAGCCATCTTGGATTTTGATATTGAAAGTTTGTTATCGCTATTTCTCGGGAAGTATCAGAGGGATCTTTCTCAAATTTTATATGTAGGTTCCCCTTGGTCCTTAGCTGTGCAGGGCAACTTTTGAGACTGATCGGATAAACAACATGGCCGACAGGCAGCCATCTTGGATTTTGATAATGAAACTTTGTTATCGCTATTTCTCGGGAAGTATCAAAGAGATCTTTCTCAAATTTTATATGTAGGTTCCCCTTGGTCCTTAGCTGTGCAGGGAAACTTTTGAGATTGATCAGATAAACAACATGGCCGACAGGTAGTCATCTTGGATTTCGATATTGAAAGTGTGTTACGCTATTTCTCAAGAAGTATTCGAGGGATCTTTCTCAAATTTCATATGTAAGTTTCCCTTGGTTCTTAGCTGTGCAGGGCAACTTTTGAGACTGATCGGATAAACAACATGGCCGACAGGCAGCCATCTTGGATTTTGATATTGAAAGTTTGTTATCGCTATTTCTCTGGAAGTATCAGATGGATCTTTCTCAAATTTTATATGTAGGTTCCCCTTGGTCCTTAGCTATGCAGGGAAACTTTTGAGATTGATCGGATAAACAACATGGCCGACAGGTAGTCATCTTGGATTTTGATAGTGTGGGTTTGTTACTGCTATTTCTCGGGAAGAACTAAAGGGATCTTTCTTAAATTTTATATGTAGGTTCCCCTTGGTCCTAGCTGTGCAGGGCAATTTTAGAGACTGATCGGATAAACAACATGGCCGACAGGCAGCCATCTTGGATTTTGATA